CAGAAACAACATCTCCTTTTATTAGGTAAGTGTATTTTGCTTTCTCAAATTAAATTATATTTTTCTGGAACACTATAAATGAAAGCAGGAGACTGCTTGTAATTAGTAAGGCTATATGATTCTTTTATTGATAAATTTACATAGTAAAGGCTAATTCAATTAGCCTCTAAGTAAATTTCAATAAAATTGAAAATAGAAGTGAAATTGAGAAGATACATGCCAAATAAAGTTAAATCATTTTTTGGTTCACAGTATATTTTGTAAATTGACTTTTCCACACAAAAGCAATTCCACAGTTCTTTACTGGACAAAGAAAGCACATAGCACCATTTCTGCTTTGCTTTGTTTAAAAATAAAAAATGGCTTTAAGACCTTCCTTCTGGTGTGTGGGCTCCAGCTTTTAATACCCAATATCCAATCCCTCTTGAATCTACTAGCCCCAGTATTCCTCCACCTATCTCACTTTAATACTAGGGCACCAACATTTGAAAGTAAGTTAAAATTTGCTCCATTTGTCTTACACTGAGATGTAAGATCCACCAGGTTTATGACCTTGCTCCATTCAAGGCAAAAAGGGAGCTATATTATGTTTACCCAGAGATTAGCTTTTAAGTAATGGATTAGTTTATTTTTATAAATCTTACTTTTAAAATTATTATACAGTAAAATTAATATTTTTAGTGTACAGTTCTATGAATTCTAACACATGTATAAATTTCAAACCACCGCCACACAATCAAGATTCAGAAGCATTCCATCCCTCCCCAAACTCCCTGCGGCTATCCATTTATACCAGTTACCTTCTCCTCCCTCACCCACCCACAGGCCCTAGCAACGCCTCTGTTCTCCATCTCTATAGTTTTATTTATTTAAGAAGGTAAGAGAATATTTTAAGCCTAGATAACAGATGCTAAAGAATGCATTATAGCCTATATAAGAATAACCGGTTGATTTACAAATGGGTCAGTTAGATCTACCCAAATTCTAAACAGCATTTCTAGTCACATAAAATACATTATGAGCACTGTTTTAGAAAGCAAGGCAAAGAAATGTGTTGCTAAGTAGTAAGAATTGTTCCCACTCTCTTCCTAGTTCAAAGCATGAATGTCTTAGAAATGCATACTGTTTTTATTATTATCATCACCAGTGTACTTAGCTTCATATGTAGAGCATCAGTTTTGGCAAAGCAACATTTCCTTTTTCGGATTGACTCCTATGTGTCTGCCTATCTATAACAAACTGATTCATAAACTCTAATATGTTTAGTTCTCTTCTCCAGTATCAGACTATCTTGCTTCCTGCCCCCAAACCCACAATTTCCTGTTCCATATCCCAATTCTTCCATTCATGATTGTTACCACTGCTTCTAGAGGAGAGGGCGTCAACTACCAGTTCACAGGCTGGACCTGGCTGAAAGACATATTTTATAAGTCTAATTAGTGTTTCTAAAATTAGGAAAAAACAAAAGAAAGAAAGAAATTTCCAGCTTCTCTTGAATACTCATCCTATCTAGCAATACAGGGAAACTACTGCCTCAGACAACAATTTATTGGAGTTGAAGTTCCCTGCCTTTAGATGAACCTGGGTTTTTCAGGTTATCACTGTCCCCTCCAATGTCTACAGTCTTGCACCAACTCACTTGACTCATTATCCATTTATCCCCTCTACCATTTTGGTTTATAAATTTCCATTATAAATTCCTTGGGATCAGATAATTCCCAGGTCTTATTCATCAAATGATAACACTATCACATGGTTGGCAACAAAGGGGCACTCAATGCTGAGTGAATGAATAATGTGTCACTTAAAAACAAAACAAGGGCCGGCCAAGTGGCTTGATGGTTAAGAACTGGCTTGGGACGCCAGAGGGCCCCGGTTCGGATCCCACATATGAGGGCCAGTGACACTGCCCTCCACAGCTAAGATGCTGAACAACAGCTCAACCTGGAGCTGGGCTGCTGTGAGTCACCGGCGACGGCCCCCCTTCTGCAGTGGGTTGCCATGGGCTACCGTGTGTAGCCAGCAGCCAGCGTGAGCGGCCAGCAGCCGCAGTGAGAGGCCGTCCAGAAGCCGGCAACTGATCTGCCTCGCCCGGGAAGAGCGCAACGATGGTGCCAACTTGGGCCAGTGAAGCAACGTCCTCCACAACTAGACTGAAGAACAAAAGGAAAGCAACTTGTCTGTTCCCCTTCCCCCAATTCCTCAGCGCTGTTCCCATCCCCCTAATTCCCCAATAAAAATCTTTAAAAAAAACAAAAAAAACCTTTAATCTGTCACTTCTGAGCATCAGATGTCCCAGGATTGGGCTGATGTTTTATAGACACCAGCAGTCAGAGTGCTACTTTTCTCTGGTAGAAAAGCCCGATTAGCACATATTATATTTTATTATGTTATATTATATATTTATTATATTTAAGGAGTCAGGAAACCTAAGCTGTAGATATATCGCTACCTCTAACTAGACACTTGGCTGCAGTTTCTTCATCTACAAGAATGAAGGAATTGAAATATATGATTTTTCCAAGTCATAAACCTTTATGTTCTCATCTCGATGTGCTTCTGGGTTATTTTAATCAGTTCTCGCAACTTGAAAAGTCATCTCTTTTTGCTACTAAAGATCCTTGAAAACCAATTGTGGCAAGGACAGAAAAGGCCCACTTCAGAGTTCAGTGCTGTCCTGGATCCCTGAAGATACCAAAAGGTCAGGCTCAGCATAATCAAGGTTTTGTTTCTGAGATTCTATTCTCATCTTATCCTTACTGTCCTATGTACACTATTTAGATTACTGCTTTCTAGATAGCAAAACCTGTTCTTTCTCAATATTTCCCTTCTTCATGTATCTGTGACACTCAAAGTGTTAATCACAGAACATATTTTAGAGGTTTACAAAATAATTATGCCTACTTTAAATTTTCTAAGCATCTGCCTCAATGTTTTGCCTTCTTTTATTACCTAAGCAATTTTATCACCTTCATGATTATTTCTGTGCTCTTTAAATTCTTCAAAACCACTGGTTTTTCTTAGTTATGCCAAGTTCCCAAAAGTACAAGGCTATAAAAGTGATATGTGCAGTCATAAAGAGGCAAATGAAAATGCAGGAACTCTTCAACTCTTAACTAAAACCCCTAACAAAAACAGCAGTTGACTACAGATATAAAAAGTAAGCTATTTTTACAAATTCCTGGAGAACAAAGTTAAAATTCCACAGAACAAACAGTTATTCAAAAGAACAAATCAGTGTAAATAAAACTCCCACGGCACAATTTTGATCTTCCTCCCATTGGGGAACAGTTGGGGCTAAAAGAAGATATAATTATAATGGCTCCTGAATGCCATTCTCTGGAATGGTGCTTTATCAATCAATCTTATATCACACTTGAGAAAGTTCTAATTTACCTTATTAGTAATTTAGTTTCCACAGCCTCTTAAATCTTGATTTCTCTACTGAGGCTTTCCTATGTTAAGTAACGCATCAATTAGTCCTTGGTGATATGTACAGTCCCAGTACACAGTAAAAAGCAAGACACATAAAAAGCAACAAGGTGCTAATTTGATGCATTCACAAATTATTTACAGGCAGAGATTTATCCATAGAGTAGGAGTGAGAACCCAGAACATTCAGAGACAAATCTGTCTAATGCAAAGCAATGATCTCTCAACCATTTTGGCCTCAGACCAACTAATGAAAAGTACTATTATCATTTCATCAGTAGTGGCTCACTAGTGGTTTGAGGAGGTAAAAAGGGTTCCTTACAGGGTGTCGGGGTGGACAGGGGTTGTCTAGGATTTCAGGTGAGTAATTCAGTTGTGAATCCCTCCCTCCTGGCAACTACCCAAATATTATATCACTCTTACACTTCCCTCACCACACACCTATCCCTGACATTTACCCTGATGGGAATCCCCAATCTAGTAGTGGGAAGATGAGAGAAAAGTTTAGTAATGATGTTTAAATTCATCATTACTACCAGAATGAAGAATGCTGTTATATTCCTGATGTTGGTAATTTTACTATTTCCTAATTGTTAGGAAAGTTAAAAAAAAAAAAAAAACCCTTAGAAAACCCTCAGGGGCATGTATTTACTTAAGCAGAAAAAGTGGAAATTTTGTAGAACGTACGCCCAATTTCTTACTGGATAAACTTCAAACTCTTTCTCACAACAATTAAAGGAAATCTTACTAATTTGGTCACAACCTTTCTTTCAGCACCATTTCCCAAATTCAGTCCCCACAATCTACTGCTTCAGGCACTTGGAACATCATAGGCACTGTGCTATATTTTGCTTTTTTAGTGCATTTTCACTGGTATTGTGCATTCTGAAATTCCACTTATCTATTTCATAGAATCTTATAATTCAACAAAGTCAAATATTTGCAATGCAAAGCCTGATTCCTACAAGCAGTTAAACCCAGCAACCCTGAGCTCCCGAAAATGTGCATCTCTTCCATTCCTTGTGGGCTGGACTCTGCATTATAGCCGGCCCTTAGCACTCTGTCACGTAGCTGACTTACTGTGTGAATGAATTAACCCTATTCCTTTTACAAAAGGGTTAAATGAGGACTCTTTGTATAAGAGTAAAGGCTAGAAATGGATGAGAAAGCATGGAGCTAGAAATCTCAATCCCAGGAAAGAAAAAAGGAAAATGTGAACCACAGGTTTCTCCTGTCTTCACTAGCCAGACTTTTTAAAAATGTGCATCTATGTATTAGGTTAAGTACCAACAGACCCCTAGACTGAATTTTGTCTGCCATTCTACAACAATGCTATTGGATGGGCTGCCTCTCCCAGCTCACTGCAAAGTACTGATGAATTATGATTACTCCAATGTAGTCCTTCTGGCTGAAGCACATTTTAGTGGAACAGAAAACTTACCTTGGGTCATCTCCCATAGAATGATTTCCACTAAATTAAATAATACGCTTTCCTTCAACATCACACACTGTCAAAAGAATTCATAAATGTAAAATAAACCTAACAGTGTAGTTAATAGTTTAAATACACTACCTGCAAGAGTAACGATTCCCCTGGGTTGAGGCTCAAACCGCAAATATTTGTTACAAAAGTCGGCAGATTCAAGGGCCAAAAACAAAACATTGCCCAAAAAGTAGCCCGCTGTTTGGCCCACTGAATTGCAAGTAGAAGCATAACCCACGTTTTCTCGGGATAACATAGTTAACGCCCAGCCATCCACAGCGATGTCCTGAGTGGCGGCCAGAAATTCAAACAAAAAGAATGTCACAGTGAGAGCAACCACATCGGGGGTTCTGCCATCAGTGTTCCCGAGCATATGGTCCACCTGAGTGGATAAATACATCATGAAGAGTCCCAGTATATACTGTGTAGGGACAAGCCAAGATTTGCGACGACCGAAGTTCCTAAAGTAAACCGCATCTACCAGTGGGGCCCAGAGCAATTTGAGACTGAAGGGCCAAAAGACAAAACTGAAAAAAGCTTGATCTGTATAGCTAACATTTTTGCTCTGCAAAATGAGTGGGATGCTTCCTGCCAGGCCCAGTGGAATGCCCTGAAGCACATAAAGAAAAAGCAACAGCAAAATGCTGCTTAATTCGGCCCGGCAGCTCCGTGGGAGTTTTGAGAGATCACCAGTATCCAGCAGAAGAGCTTCTCTGTCCCCTTCTCCGCCCACCAAGTTCAGATGGCTGTCATCCCAGTCGCCCGGCGGCAGAAGGCCACTCTTCATATCCAGAGAGTGACTGTAAGTCCCTGGCCGTCGTTGCCGACTGTTGTCCTTGTGGGAGACGGTGGGTGACATATCAGAGACGCTGCACAGCCCCGTCTGAGGGGGGTCGAGGCTGAGTGTTTTGGATCCGTCTAGTCCCAGGTCCAGGGCTGTCGCTCTGGACCAGGGTCTCGATGGTTCGAGAAGGTGGGCAGGGCGCGGGGTGACCAGAGCACTTCTTACTGCGGCCCGGAAAGCTGAAGCCGGGAGCCAGTCCCCTGGCTGGAGGCCCAGGCGATGCCCAGGTAGTTGCCTCTTGGAGCAGCGTCAAGGAGCCTAAAGGAGCCCCCCGGGCAGCCGCGCCGGGCTCGGGGCTGGAGAAGGGGGCCGTGGTGCTGCTATGGAAACTGGCGCTTAACTGTGGCCAAACCGTACGGCCGGTCTCCAGACCGACCTCCAGCTCCCGCCGCCACCCGTGCAGCAGACAGCACTTTCTCCACAGGACTCCAGCTATATAGCAGATAACTTCCTGCGTCGCGCTTCAGGAAGTGGTCCTTGTCTCAAATGAGTCCTGTCCCTAGAGCAAGGCAAGCAGGACACACTCCCGTGGCCGACCTGAGAAACAACTCTTGAGTAGGAACCCGCAACTCTCGCGACCCGGACCTCGTAGGAGGGTTAACGCGAGCGCACAGAGCGGGCGGGCCGGGGCGCCGCGAGAGCTCCGGCTCTGTGAGCGCATGCGGCAGTCTGGAGAGCGTGGGCTTATGCCATTGGGCCGGTGGGGCCACGTGAGGGCGGGCGGAGCCAGGCCTGCGCCAGTAGGCGGTGCAAATACCGTGCCTGTGAAGCTGCGGAGGCCCAGCGAGGCTCGTCTTTAGGACGGAGAAAGGCAATGCCAAACCCCGGCTTATTGTGTGATGCCGCCGCTTTCGTGGGCCGGGCAGAAACCGGGAAGAGAAGGATTGAAGTTTACAGAATTTCTTATCCGCAGGCACGGGTGCTTTGTGCGCTAAAAAGGGTACAAAAAAGGCCTGCTTAAATGGTGAACAGGATGCCTTACAGTATCCATTTATAGAATGAATGAAACGGATCAGAGGTGTTAGGTTTCTCTGCAGTCCATTTTTCCAGTGTGGTGGAAAGACATGTAGAGGAACTGGGGTCTAGGTGACCCCATCCACTATTTTGGATGGGTTGGAATTATAAAACTTGTCACATATCTCTATTTTTGAGCTACTGTAAAAGTTCTTGTAAGATCCAAATAATGACATTTTATTTCATGTCAACTTAATGTGTATTCATTATTGAAATGATAAGAGAAAATAACCTTAGGGAACGAATAGCATTATTTGTAATATAAATTGATTCATTTGAAATATGGTGTTGGAGGAGAGGTTTATGGCTGGCTACCTGGACCAAGTGAAAGATGAAAAAGTGGGCCTCAGAGCAAATTAAGCCTGAAACATGGCTGGAATCAAAAATGACAAAACTGAAGCTGTCCTACTTAAGGCACATCATGAGAAGGCAGAGTCCGTTTCATTCATTCTAGAAAAGATAATAATGGTGGGGAAAATAGAAGGCAGCAGGAAAAGAAGACTAAATATGACATGGGTTGACTCCATAAATGAGTAGGCATGAGTCTATAGGAACTGAGCAGGGCTGTTGAGGATGAGACATTGTAGACATCGCTCATTCCTAGGGTTCCCAGGAGTTGGTGCCAACTTCTGGCACATAATACACACATAAAAAATACATTACCTATAAAAAGTTTTATATATTATATATTGGAAAACTACATACTGAAAACAAAAAACCTATACTTAAAAGTTAAACATACTAATCCTGACATCACTTAAGAGATAAATTGTGTTCTTGCTGGCCTTTCCCAAATTTGAATGTTGAAATAACTGTTCTCCATCTCAAAATTATTGAGAAAAAAAAGTTGAAGATGAACATTAAAATTTGAATACAAAAAGTTATACACTTACTAAGTGTAACCTAGTGTTTCGATAGGAAACCAAACTATACAGACACTACATTCCAGAAACGTAATTTTATGCAATGTCTCAGAAAAGTTTTTGCAGCTCTTAGGGAATGGTAGTTCTTAGGGGAAGTTCCATTTGTGGACATCAAAGGTCTATGAGCTTGCTGAATTTTTTTTTTAAGTACATATGCATTGTAAGTTATATGCAAATACTTGTTGAAACTTTAATACTAAGCTATGTAAGTATGTAAGTGGAAATCATTTCAAGACTAATTTTACAACATAAATGACAAATTCTCATTCCTAGCATCTCTATCCATTTAGATTTAACTTATGTATTGCAAAGTAGCTTTTTTGTTGCTCTTTGTCGTACCCCTAAGATTTTGCTATGGTCATGATCAAATTCTATTCCATATTTATATCGTTAGAGAATTTCTTCCATTATTTTTGAAAAGTGGACGTATAGGTAAACTGAATAGTTGCTTGTCCAAAAATTATTGTTGTTGACGTTTAGCTTCTAATATTCTGATAGGAAAGACATATTCACCTGATTTTTGTTTCTTTTGTAAGTAGCTTATTTTTTTCTGTCTGGTGCTTGTAAGGTTTTTTCCTTAATTTATAGATGTGCCTTTTTAAAAAAAATCTTAAACCTTCCTGGGTATATTCATTATCTATTGCTGGGTTACATATTACTCCAAAACTTAGCACCTTAACAACAAACATTTTATCTCAGTTGCTATTGGTTAGGAATTCAGAAATGGCTCAGCTGGATGTTCCAGTCCAGTATTCTTTCATGAGGTTACGGTGAAGATGTCAGCTGGAGTTTCAAGTAATCTGAACGCTTGACTGGAACTGGAAGATCCACTTCCAAGATAGCACACTCACATGGCTGTTGGCAGAAGGCCTCAGTTCCTTCCTATGTGAGTCTCTCTGTAGAGCTGCTTAAGTGTCTTTCTGATATGGCAGCTGCCTTCCCCCATAGCAAGTGATCTAAGAGAAAAAGCAAGGATAAAGTAACGATGCTTTTACGATACAGTCTCAAAAGTCACATACTGTCATTTCTTCCATATTCTACTAATCAGAAGCAAATTACAAAGTCCAGCCTACAATCAAGGAAAGGAGAATAAAGTTCCAACTCTTCAAGGAATATCAAAGAATTTGTAGGCATATTTTAAAAGACTTATTAAAATACAGCTAACATACATATTATATTAGTTTCAGGTGTACACCATAGTAATTCAACATTTATATACCTAAAGAAGTGATCACCATGTTAAGTCCAACAACCATCTGACACTGTGCCACACTATCACAATATTATTGACTATATTCCCTATGCTGTACATTACATCCCCATGACTTATTTGTTTTATATTTGGAAATTCAAACCTCATATTCCCCTTCATCTTCCTCCCCTTTTAAATTTTTTCAATTACAGTTGACATTCAATATTATTATTATTTTTATTTTTTATTTTTTTTAAGCTGAGCCATCCTGCCACCTGTTGGCAGTTCAGCTCGGGCCTAGCATCGAACTACTGTTGCTCAGAGCTCAAACTCTTGAGCAAGCTCTTAACCAACTGAGCCACTCAGCCGGCCCAGAGCTCAAACTCTTGAGCGAGCTCTTAACCAACTGAGCCACTCGGCCAGCCCTGACATTCAATATTATTTTATATTTATATTAATTTGAGGTGCACAGCATGTTGTTAGACATTTATATAATTTAAGAAATGATCCCCCTGACTAGTCTAGTACTGACCTGAGGTATGTAGTACTTTTTCTAGGATAAGTCATAAACTTCATTATCCCACCTGGTACCTCATTGCTGAATATCACTATGGTCACCTTTAAAGTACTCCCCTTGGGAAGCTATGCACCAATGCCAGAGCCTAGTCCACCCTTCAAAGCGATTTTGGAACTCTGTCTGGAATTGCATTGGTGCTGTCGTCGTGTTACCCTTCATGTCCTGAATGTCATCAAAATGTCTTCTTTTCAATATTTCCTTTATCCTCAGGTAAAGAAAGAAGTCATTGGGGGCCAGATCAGGTGAGTAGGGAGGGTGTTCCAGTACAGTTATTTGTTTACTGGTTAAAAACTCCCTCACAGACAGTGCCATGTGAGCTGGTGCATTGTTGTGATGCAAGAGCCATGAATTGTTGGCAAAAAGTTCAGGTCATCTAACTTTTTCACACAGCCCTTTCAGCATTTACAAATAGTAAACTTGGTTACTTGTTTGTCCAATTGGTACAAATTCATAATGAATAATCCCTCTGATATCAGAAAAGGTTAACAACATCGTTTTGACTCTTGATTTGAACTGATGGAAATATTTTGGCCATGGGGAATTGGCAGACTTCCGTTGGGCACTTTGACACTGTGTTTCAGGGTCGTATTGGCACACCCATGTTTTATCACCAGTGATAACATGGCCCAAAACATTGTCATGCTTCTCCAAAAGGTCTTGGCAAATCTTGACTCTCCTTTGTTTTTGTTCATTTTAGAGCTCCCTCAGGACCATTTTTGCACACACCAAACGTCCCTGATTTCACTTCCACTCTTGCCAAGTTTAATAAGAAATTTAATGTTTGTTTGTTGCTCTAATTCAAGCTCAGACATTCTTGTCATGGCAAATGAAAGCACTCAACAATAATGAATGCCATTCATCAAGACACTGCCACACATCAACACAAAAACAGCTGTGGCACTGATACACCAAGGTTATGAAACCTTACTGAACTGTTTGTATAGTGCTGCCAATGTAAGCGCACTGTAAGGCAAGTTCTCGAACTTAATTGCCAGACCTCATACTTAGCACTTTTTCTAGGATGAGGTCACAAATTCAATTGTCAGACCTGTACATAATGTATACTCCACATCCAAACTCTCAAGGCTTTTTAGGGGAGAAATAAAAAAACTGATGTTGTTTTCCCTGGACCTGATGTGGCAGTTTTACATTCCTTATCACTTCTTGCTTTGAGAGGTGTGGCCAGTGTCCCTTGCCTTGAATCTAGGTGCTATGACTGAACAATACAATACAGCTGAGATGATGCTGGATTAATTCCCAGGCACAGGTCTTAAGAAACTGGTAGTTTCCATTTCCTGTCTTTTGAGACAGTCACTCCTGGAACTGAGGCCCATGTACCTAAGGAAAGACTACCTGGAAAGGAACAAAGGCCTGTGACTCAGTGCTGTCTGAGTTCCCAGTCAATGGCACCAGCCATGTGCCCACCATCTGGTAAGTGAAACCGCCACCTCCACAGTGAGCTACCGTTGCTGACACCACATGAAACAGAGACAAGTCTTCACCGTTAAGCCATGCCCAGATGGCTGTTCTCTGCTCAGACCTACCTCATGGTAGTCTTCTTGTGAGACAGACTGAGATGCTCCCCCACCAGGGCCTCAGTGTACCTTAGCAAATGTGGAACCGTCGCTACCACTATGAAATCAAGACTGATCCTGTGGGAACTTCAGCCAGTACTGTCATGAACAGCTGTTCTCTTTGTGTAGTCAGTGCCCCTTACTCACTTCTGTTAAATATCCTTCTCCCTTTCCTTTGGGAAACTGGTCTTCCCTAATTGATGTGTTCTGGTGAAGCTGGTGAAACTGCCAAACACAAACCCCTCCTGGTGGGAGCCATGATCCCTTCTTGCCCTCAATTGCCCCACCCTGTACATTCCCCATCTTCCATTGCCCACACGTGAATAACCATTTGGATGAACATATGGTCCATGCTTGGCCTATCAGAGTCCATTGTATGGATTTGTTAAAATTTACCAACCAGTCTCATACTGATGATACTGATATGACCATTTAGGTTCTTTATAGTTTGATGTTTTGTTTTCCCAATACCCTCCCACCCCAATACACATACACACATACATACATATGTATTTTAGAAGTAAATTTTCTGGGTGAATATGTATATTTAAAATCTGATAATATTGCTAAATAGCCCTCCAAAAAGTTCTGTATCAACTTACACTGTTTGATTATTTTCATTTGTTTGTACCTCATCAACCCTTTGTATTTTAAGCTTGTCAGTTTACATTAATATGACAAGTACAAAAATGTGATGTTATTTTAATTTTAATTTTTAATGGTAAAAACATATTCATGTTTATGATATATATATATATAATTTTTTTCTTTTTCCTTTTATTTGAGGTTGAAGCTCTCAAAAATAAGATACAAATTAGAACAAAGAAAATTACTTGTAACATATTATTGTTATTAATATTAATGCATTTGGAAGCTCGTGGAATTTTCCTTCGTTCTTGGAGTTCAAAATTTTCACCAGGATGTATGAAGGTATGCGCATGTAAGTTTTTCTGTCAATCTATTCAACATTTATTAAGACTTTTTGAACAAAGTTCTAAATCTTTCCTGAATTTAGGGAAATTTTCTTCTATAATATATTTGATTTTTCATTTCTTTCTTTCCTCTTCATTGACTCCTTCTGGAAATAGTAAACTTTTAGTTTGTTTACTAGATTTATCTCTTAAGTTTTCTCTCATAACTTTCCCCTTTCTTTTTGCTCTATGTTATTGGAAACTCCCAAACTAGATCCCTCAAAAACAACTTGGAATTGTACAGTTAAAATGTGTGTATTTCTCCAAGGGTTAGTGGAGGGAGGGATGAATAAGTGGAACACAGAGCATGTTTAGGGGAGTAAAATGACTGTGTATGACACGATAATGACTAGAATAGCAGTTACATCTCATTATATATTTGTCCAAACTCATAGCATGTACAATACCAAGAGTCATCCCAATTGTAAACTATGAACTTGGGTGATTATGATGTGTCAATGTAGGTTCATCAGTTGTCACAAATGTACCACTCTGTGGGGGATGTTAATAGTGAGGGAGGCTATGCATGAGTGGAGATGGGGGGCAATATGGGAAATCTCTGTACTTTCTACTCAGTTGTGCTGTGAACCTAAAACTGCTTTAAAAAAATAAGTCAATTTAAAAAAAATCTGTACATTTCAAAATAGGTAAATTTTATCTCATTAAAAAAAGGGACTGTAAAAAAACGATTTGTCTGGGGGTTGGGGTGATTAAGAATGGCAGATTATCAGGCTGGCCAAGTGGCTCAGCTGGTTAAGCGCTTGCTTGGGAGTGTCAGCTCTGAACAGCAGGGCTGTGGTTCGGATCCCACATTGAGGACCAGTGACGCTTTCCCTCTACAGCTAAGATGATGAACAACAGCTCGACCTGGAGCTGGGCTGCTGTGAGTCGCCAGCTACAGCATAGGCTGCAGAGGGCTGCAGTGGGCTGTCGTGAGCTACATGAGTGGCTGGCAGCCAGCGTGAGCAGGCAGCCGGGAGCCACTGTGAGCGGCCGACCAATGACTGGTGACCAGTCTGCCTCATCCGGGAAGAGCACAATGATCATACCAACATGGGCCAGTGAAGCGAAGTCCTCCACAACTAGACTGAAGAACAAAAAAACAGCAATTTGTCTACCTGTCTGATCCCCTTCCCCAATTCCCCAATAAAATCTTTAAAAAAAAAAGAATGGCAGATTATCAATGACTATTGATGTGTGGTGATATTGGGAGTTTATTATACCATTCTATTTATTTTTATACATGTTCAAATTCTTTATAATGAAAAATAAGAAAAAACTAAACAAACAAAAAATAAATTGGTGAGCAGCCATTTTTAGTTCTGCTATTCAGTCTGTTTCAGAAAGCAAAAAGCAAAAGAGAGAGACAGAATTTTATTGGAAGGTTATTGATGGCCTCCCAGAATCAGTGGAAGGCTGGAAGACCTACTTTAGCAAAAAACACAGAAGCCAGTGCAGCTCAAGGACTGACAGCTGGAGTTACATGTATGGATTTACAGGAAATTTCCCAAGAAATCGCTCCACTGCCAGGCCTGTGATCTTTGAGCTTCAAGATTGTTCCCGAGCTCTGTTACAAGAATTAATACCACCATCTAGTGGCCCCTTCCTAAACCTACAAGTGGTTGCAGATTTCTTCACTGGTTTTCCAGGTCACTATCATCTAAATTATATCTTCTATATATTCCTCAGAATTTTTAATTGCTTTTTTAGGTGGAGGAGAGTCAGGTTTATTGAGGTATAATTTATATACAGTAAAATTTTAGTGTACATTTCTATGAGTTTTGACAAACATAAATCATTTTGACAAATAGTTGTATAACCACAACAATTAAGATATAACAATTTCGTCACTCCAAAAAATTCCTTCGTGCTCATTTAAAGTCAGCCTCTCCATCCATTCCCTGGCCCCTGGCAACCACTGATATGTTTTTCTCTCTATGTAGTTTTGCCTTTTCCAAAATGTCATATAAATGAAATCATACACTATTTGAGCCTGGCTTCTTTCAGTGAGCATAATACATTTAGATTTATCCATGTTGTCATCTACCTGTATTGATAATTCTCCCCTCTCTACTACAACCCTTAGGTTTTGGGTTTGTTTTTGGGTTTTTTTGGCTGAGTAGTATTTCATCATATGGGTGTACAAATGTGTTTATCCATTCACCCGTTCAAGGACATGTGGATTATTTCCAGCCTTTGGTGATTATGAATAAAGCCACTATAAACACTTGTGTACAGGTTTAAACAAGTTTTCATTAATCTTGGGCAATGACCTAGGATAGGATTGCTGAGCTTGTGTGTGTCTATTTAACTGTATAAGAAATTGCCAAAACATTTTCCAAAATGATTGTGCCAATTTGCACGCCTACCAACGTTTTTCTCTGTTTATGACATCCCACCTGGTTTTCCAATATTGCTATATTTTTTAATTTAAAAATTAAAATATTTTCTTCTGTCATTTTATGGGATTGCAAAAGGTTGGGAAAATGGCACCAAAATATTTTAAGTAGCATATCATATTTATTAACTAGTTGTACTGCCTAATTTGTAAATTTTAACTTGATTGGGATATAGGTGTTTTTTGTTTTAGTTTACTATAATATACTCCATATACTTTAGAGAGTAACATACCTGTTCTTTTGCTGTAAAAATGTCCCCATCTCATCAAGTTCTAATGTATGTGGTTTTAAAAATAAGAGCAGAGTAAAATAAATCAGTCAGAGAAAGACAAATACCATATGATCTCACTTATACGTGGATTCTAAAATACTGAATAAATGAGAAATGTAAACAGAAATAGTCTTAGAGACACAGAGAAAAAACTGAGGGTTGCTAGTTTGGGAGGGGGTGGGGATGAAGGAGAAGGGGAAAGGATGAGACAATACAAATTGGTAACTACAAAAATAAAACAAAAAAAAACAAAAAAAACACAAATTGGTAACTACAATATGGCCTCAAGGATAGAAAAGACAGTGTGGGGAATATAATCAATAATGTAAATATTTTTTAAGGGGCCAGATGGACTCATGTCTTCTTAGGGAGACCACTTCATAGTCGGTGTAGAGGCCTGACCACTGCACTGTATTTCTGAAGCTGATGTTGAATAATAATGTATGTCAACTATAATTATATATACATATAGTCACGGGACGTGGAGTAGAGCGTGGGAATGGAGTCAATGGAATTGTAATAGATAAGCATGATATCGGGGGTGGGAGGGCAGTAGATGGGGGAGGGGGGTTGTTTCTGTGTGCAGGGTGAAAAGGGTAACTATTGCATTGTTCTGTACACCTGAAACTAACAATAAAAAAAAATAAGGGCAGAATATATATATATATATATATATATATATATATATATATATATATATATGCTTTATTAAATCATTTGACAACCATATATTAGATACACACAATGTGCTCGGCACTGGAATATATTCTGAAAATAATACTTTGTATGGTGCTTTATCATTTACAAAGTGATTTAATATATATTATTTAATTCTATATAAACAAGTTAAAAGAAAAGAAACACAATCACCCACAAGCAAACATTCTTTTCATGTATGTATTGTAGCCAATTAAAGGGCAGAGAGAATTATGAGAGTAACCGACAGAAGGACAGGCAAAAGACCACGTGTTTAATTTGCTAAGGGATGGAGAAAGTTGAAAAAAGAGGTAACAAATGTGTAAATAAGGGGCTGGGAAGAAAAGAAAAAATGGACATTCAAAGAGCACAGTCACACATCACATAATGACATTTAGGTCAATGATGAACTGCATAACTGGCAGTGGTCCCATAAGATTATAATGGAGCTAAAAAATTCCTATTACTTAGTGACACTAGGAGTCATGACATGGTAGTGCAATGCATTACACAAATACTTACCATTGTGTTACAACTGCCTACAGTATTCAGTACAGTGACATGCTGTACAGGTTTGTAGCTAGGAGCTGTAAGGGAACAGAATTTGTCACTCAAAATATGTCTTTGGCATAATGATTATTTTTGGTTGGTTAATTTTAAGAAACAGCAGACATGGGAGAAGCTCTGAAAACCAAGTTACCCTCTGGGAAATCTCTAGTTGTAAAGGTATCTCCCTTGTTGTACCAGGAAGTGGGGGGAGACCTTATCTCTAGAAACTCTTATCTGTGCAAAAAGCAATGACTTAAATCTACCTAACAACTTACCCTTGTTTACTGTGCTTTTTTTGGTAACCTCTCATAACTGACTCCCTCCATCCCCAACATCCTCTTTTGTCTTCAGCTAATGGTAGCTTCATGAGTTACTCAGTTTTCCTGGGTTTCTCCCATATATACAGGAGGTATACATGTTATTAAACTTTGTTTTTCTCCTGCTAATTTGTCTTTTTCACAGGGATGTCTCAGACAAGAACCCACAAGGGTAGAGGGAAAATTATTTTTCCTCTCTTACAGAGCAATAGGCTAGATGCCATTTTGGGCCTGTGATTTTCTATTTAATACATGTTTGCCCCACCTTGAAATTCCCTTGGTTATCTTTACAATGCACTTTCACATTTTTACTAGTCTTTTGAAATAGTGATTGACTTGTTACCTATCTTTTCCTAGAGGTTGTCATTCCCAGAGAAGGAATTTTACTTTGGGCAACTAACACCACCACTAGAGAAATAAATCTTAGGTAAATTAGGAGGATTGGAAAGGCAAACTTTGTGAAGTCTCTTCTTTTAGGAAAAGCATCTAGTTTTATAACAGTCTCTAAGTAACGTCCGGCCAGGCTGCTTTCTTCTACCCACTTCATATTTGTGGTTATCTTGGTTGAATTGAGGCTCTGAAAGTAGAGCTGATTAGTAAGAAGATGTTGAACTTTAAAAACATCAAGCTATTGGTTATGTAGGGGTTCAAAATAAGCCACACAAAGATGTGCCTCAGTGACATGTGGGTTATTTTGAGCTAAAGGCAATGGACACCCTGCAGGCTCAAGAGAAACTTCTGCTGTCTCTAGAAGAATTTAAATCAGGAGCCTGACCCACGAGAATTAAAACCAGAGTTGGCTTTTTACTTATCTACGTGGTAGGGCAAACTAATAATTGCCGAACACGTGCTCTCCCTGCAATTGCCTTCTGAAGCCCTTAAGGCACCTCATCCCTAGCTCAGAAGGTCTTATAGACCCATTTTCCCTTTCTGTCTCTGAGCCTTCTCATGCATGTGGGCTCTCTGACACTCTCATGTATGCGGGGTTCCCATATATACGTATGTATTAAACTTGTTTGTTTTCTCTTATTAATCTGTCTCAGACATTATATGAAGATAAGTGATTTTTAATATATGAAAACAGCTTAAATTCCTAAGTTGAAAAATTCTATGTAAAGTTTATCATTACTTATACAAGAACAGAAAGCATACTACATTTCAAAACATGGAGAGTTTCATTTTCTTCACTACCATTATAAGGTATTTTATGACTTACCATCTTTCATTCTTATATTTTCTGTTTTTAATATCCAAACACTCCAATAGCAGCATTAGTCACAATAGCCAAGGGGTAGAAATAACCCAAATGTCCATGGATAGCTGAATGGATAAACAAATGTGTTATATTATATATATGATAAAATAAACATATATAATAATATTCTATTTTATATTTATATAAATAGAACATTATTCAGCCTTAAAAAGGAAGGAAATCCTGTCACATGCAACAACACGGATGAATCTTGAGCACATTATGCTAAGATGCTAAGTGAAATAAGTCAGTCACGAAAAGACAAATACTGTATGATTTCACTTACATGAGGTGTCTAAAATAGTTATATTCATAGAAACATAAAATGGAATGTTGGTTTCCAGAGGCTGAGAGGAGAGGGAAATGGTGCTACACACCTCACTACTGAATATCAC